ACACTACCATTTAATGTAATAAACTGAACAATGAAGTCTATGTCTTCTGTTCTCCACACACTACCATTTAATGTAATAAACTGAACAATGAAGTCTATGTCTTCTGTTCTCCACACACTACCATTTAATGTAATAAACTGGACAATGAAGTCTATGCCTTCTGTTCTCCACACACTACCATTTAATGTAATAAACTGAATAAAGAAGTCAATGTCTTCTGTTCTTTACACACTTCCAGTTTAACATAATAAACTGAATATTATGTTGGTTAACTTAAGAGCATCATGTGAATTTCCAACAACTGTCAAAAAAGAAAATAAATTTCAGTAAACAATAAAAACCACCACAACTAACTGTTACTAATGTTATAGGGGTTTGACCACCATGGACCAAGGCCAAAATATCCCCGCCGGGATTTTAGAGAAGGTTTTTATTTCAATTTTTGTTACTTTTTCTGTAAATTCACACTATGAAACACCTGGTCTAAAGTGGTGTAATTGCCAGACTTTTTTTTTACAGTAATTTATTTTAGAATGTGGACCTGTGATGCTGAATTGTTGCCAGGACATTATTAAACTGTAGCTCAGACATCACGTTGTAAACCTGTTATTATTGCCAAACATGATTGTATGTTTGCAAGACTTTATTAAGATGAACTGAACATAGTTTTGTCCATATTTTAAAATCTGCCCTGGAAGAACTGAGAGATGCTTTGTGGCTCATTACATGTACTGTGTTGTGTAAATTAAAATTGTTTAGATACTGAACATTTATTATAATACAGGTCCAAAGTTTATAATGGAAGTTTCACAAATAGCAGGACAAGGCATTCTTTATCTTAGTTTTCGTAGTTTGACAATTATTATTGTGTATACAGATCAAGAAATGTAATATATTTTGCTGGTTTTTGTATGTGTGATAATGTTTTGGAGAATGGGTTTAAACATATGCACTTCATATTTCAAATAGCTTTCAAATATTTTGTCAAACAAATGTTTTACATCAGTATTTAGAAACAGTCCACCCTTTAAAATGAATAACGAAACTGTAACCTATTTAACTGAGCTGGAAAGTGGATAGTTCACTTTAATTCTGGGGATTATGAATTCTGAATGTATGATTTTTAATTCCTGCACAGTTCTGTGGATGAGTACGACAGCTGCCTGTGACAATAATCTTGTGAATTCAGAATTTGAATTCTGCTGATATTCATGATTGTGCTTGTAGTAGTTTGGTAGTATCAGCTTTTTCAAAGACTTACAAAAAAACTGATATTTTGTACATTGTATAATAAAACCCCCCTTTTTTTGTAATTTTGGTATCGCTTCCAAGCTGAAAGGCTATCATCATTTGTAACATTTCACACATGGTTAATTTTGATCTGAATTTACTAATACCTTCTTGGTTTCTGTTTCATAATCAGACCCCCTGTGATGTTCCAAAGGCGACAAAGGAGGTATCGTGGCCAGGACATTATTACACTGTACCTGTGATGCTGCATTGTTACCAGGACATTATCAAACTGGCCAGGACATTATTAAACTGTACCTGTGATGCTGCATTGTTACCAGGACATTATTAAACTGTACCTGTGATGATGCATTGTTACCAGGACATTATTAAACTGTACCTGTGATGCTGCATTGTTATTATTACACTGTACCTGTGATGCTGCATTGTTACCAGGACATTATTAAACTGTACCTGTGATGCTGCATTGTTACCAGGACATTATTAAACTGTACCTGTGATGCTGCATTGTTAACCAGGACCCAGGACATTATTAAACTGTACCTGTGATGCTGCATTGTTACCAGGACATTATTAAACTGTACCTGTGATGATGCATTGTTACCAGGACATTATTAAACTGTACCTGTGATGCTGCATTGTTTTTTTAATTCACATAAGTTGTAAAAGTGGTTTTCATTAAAGTATTTTTCATTTCTTAATAGCTAGGTTTATTTTTGAATTTGAATTCAGATTTATAGAAAAAGTAAATAAAAACTGAGTGGTGAGGCTTAGATTGTTGGTGAAGTTTAGATCGTATCAGTTGTAGAATTTCTTTCGCAAAAGATGCAGAATGAGGTTTTTGGAACTCGATTACAAAATAAGTAACGTTGAGTTATCTTGAATTTTTATTTTCAGTTGTATTTAATCAAAAATCAAATAAAAAGTTCAAGAGTCAAATAAAAAGAGCTAAAGTTATTAAAGTTTAAAATATTCTCTGTGTTATTATGCACTTTAAGACCATGCATATTTAAATTTGAAAAATGCACATTTCTAGTTGAGATGTTCAACTTTGGCCCTTCCATCAAAAGACTGGAATTTTGGAACATTTTGATCAACATTTAAAAAAAAAAAAATTGTAAAATGAAAAGAAGTATTTAACATTCTTTCTTGCAGCAGAGTTTTGAACATTTCACAACATAAATACAAAAACTAAATAAAATCATGTGAATTTCATTAAAGCCAGAACTAGGTACTATTTAAGTATGTAGAAAGTTTGTTCTAAGTATTTTTACTGTCAGGAAGAAATTAAATTTAGCAATATCGGTGGCAACCTTCTGGGTGTGAAACGGTTAAGATTCATCTTACTGTATTATGTCCTGTTAACAAAAAAGTGTTTATCAGTCCAGTTTTGCATCCCAGGAC